CATAACGTCTTGCCTGCATGACTTCATCGTTACTTTTTCGTAATTTGACCGGCTACAATTTGCTACTATTATATTATTATCATATCATACATGCATCATCAACATCACTGCTCCGGAGTCTGGACCTGACCGTGAGATGTTGAAACGTAAACTTGCTTACCAATGTGTATCAAGACGGTTTAAACCGGTTTATATTGAAGATGCTAAGCCAATAAGTACGAAATTCACCATGATTCAACTATCAATAGTTTTTTTTGTTAACAACTATCATTATCATTAGTTTAAACTAACAAATATCAGTAGTACCGAAGCAACACATGGTGATACTCACGTAAAAAAGATATCCGAAGAATGAGTTTTGTAGGGCGTTACGAAACATATCTAAACCCGAAGTGATATTAAATGAATCCGAATAAATAATCTAAAAATCAAAAGTGAAAATTTTGAAAAATGTCAAGAAACATAAATATGTACTTCAAATATTCAATTTTCTATTTAGTTTGAGAATCTAACAATAAATATTTAAACTTTATATAAGTATTTTAAATACCAATTCTATATAAATATATTTTTTTATGTTTTGTTTTTATATTTTAGATTTTATTTCGGATATTTCTAGTGGTAGACGGAGAGTATACGGTACAGGGGCATGTGACCCCGACTGATTTTTTAATTTTCTATAACAAATACTATAAAATGTATATAAGTGCCCCAGCTACAAATTAAATAAGTATCTTAAATACCCAATTCTATATAAATAACTATAGATTTCTTATGTTTCATTTTTAAATTTTAGATTTTATTTTGGATATATCCGTACTGATCCGAAGTTAAATTTTAGATTTTATTTCGGATGTTTTGTTTTTAAATTTTAGATTTTACTTCAGATATATCTGAAACGATTCAAAATTAAATTTGACATTTTACTTCGGATATTTTTTATATTTTATTTTTAAATTTTACTTCGGATATATAGATATTTTATGGGGTTTAGGAAATGATACAAAACCAATCGAAATTGATGTGTTATATCTAATCATGATTCACTTATAAATTTACTAGTATAAGACGTGAGAGTGTTACACAATAAACCGAAATCCAAAAAATCTGTTTCGAACCCTATAACGCTCAGGCCTACTCGCTCACGTTTATAGAATTGTGTCATTGTAAAAAATAGTTGAATTGGTACTAACTTTTCTATTAATGCCTGAACGATCATTAATTAACTATCAGTACAATTATTCAAATGAATATTTTCACTAAAATATTGTAAATACTAAAAAATATGTAGATTCCGTACTTTTGTACAAAATAATTAAATTAGTACTAACTTTTGAATTAATGTCAGAGACTCAGAACGATCATTGATTAATTATCAGTACAATTAGTTAAATGAATATTTTCACTAAAATATTGTAAATACCAAAATAGGTAGATTCCATACTGTTTATATAGATCTTTCAAATCATTTGATAAGGAAATAAAAGTATCTAAATATTTCAAATCAACTGTCTAACATAGCTTAACTTTACATAATAGAAACAATGCATTTAAACTCAAAATAAGAAACACATTATTCCTTAAGTATTTGAAAATTATATATATTTAAATTTATAAAATATACAAGTGATTTTAGTAGAGTAGTCATTCTAAATTGACTAGCTAGCTATACTATTAAAATATAAGTCATGATTTATTTTATTTGTAAATTTTTAATTTGGACTATTTCCTATAGAATTTATCTATTTTTACATAGTTTAATTATAATATATTTATCCTCTTATTTGAATACAAAAATTTATTTCCAAAAATTACTTAATTTTAATTATCATAAAATATTAATAGAAATTCAATTAATTTATATATGCTGAAAATATTAATATTTCAACACTAATATATATGAATAGAACATACAATTATCAAACTGGTTTAATGTTACGGTATATATTGTAATAATATCACAAAAATAAGTATTATAGAGTTAGATAATACATAATATAATAGTAGTTATGATAGTTGAAAACATGTAAGAACAAAAAGACTGAAAAAAAGAGAAAATTACATTTAGAGTCACTTTTCTACTTTCTTATTACACCATAGGACACTTCTTGCTACTAGTGTACTTTTCTCTAACCAATTCACTTTGTACCTGCACACTAACTAAATTTGCTAACTAAATATTATCTTTCTTTTTTTTAAGTTTATTAGCCAAAAGAAAACTATAGTTACCACATCTTTCAAACGTGCTCCTCTCTCTCTCACTCTCATCTTCATCTCTTTGCTTCTATTATCTACAATCACCACATAGTTCAGCTTCTTAGAAATTGAAAAGAATACCAGCAACGCTTTAAAATAAAGTTTTGTCTTTCTCATATTTTTTATTTTTGCTTTCTCTTGTCTTTTTTTCTTTCTTTTGCTGAACCATTTGGTTTTAATTTCCATCCTAGAAACGTAAGGTGCTATTTCAAAGATAGATCTGGAGATTATCAAGTTACTTTTAGTTATCGTGCTAACTTCTAAATCCGCCATCGAAACCCTAACAGACCCAAACCAACCTCCACCACCTATCACAGCACCACCATCACCTGCTCGGGCCACCACCGCCATATCCATCATCTGCCGTGGATTTCTTTTTTGTCCATCCTAAATAGGTTTCACCAAGAAATCTCATGTTAATTGGAGCATAATGAGATGGAGCAAAATCGGAGCTTTAAGGCGGAGGTGCGAGTTTGGGGGGCATCCATTCAACTTTGTTGATGCAACTAAACCTAAAAACAATTAGAAACTAATTAGATCTGTAAATTTTTATCAAAAATGACAGAAAAGTGATAGAAACTATTGAAAAAACTGAGAAAGGGTGGAGGCGGCCGTCTTTGAATTTGATAAATTGCAGGTAGGTTACAGGGAGGAGAAGATGATGAAATTACAACTTTGCCCTCATTAAATATGAACTTTTGAACATGTGGACGACGAAATATATATGTTCACGTTTACATTTAGGTTGTACATGTGTACATTTAATTTAGCCATCGCCGAGCAACATCAAAATCCACTTGTGTTGTACACATCGCCCTTATTTTTGTACACCTAAACAAACAAAAAAAACAAAAAGACCAAATCATTGTTAGTATAAGAATTTGTAATTGTCTAAATATGAAACCATACTTGTGGATATTATTACGCAATCTACATGGAAATTGCATAATCATATTAACCTCATTGGTGTGAACGCTGCTTGTCGCAAACAAGTTAATCTCCTTGAATCTGTACATGTGAAAATATGTGTACATGTAAATAAATGTACATGTGTACATATATATCCCTTTCTCAAACATTTGTACATTTTTTATATTTTTTTAGTGAATGGCAATTTTGTAATAAATTCATCATCTTCATTTTAGCGCTTCCATCTTTTTCTGCAACTTTCTTTTGGAGCCACCATTAACTTCCATTATGCTAGTAGTATGTCCCGGTCTAATGGGAAACTAGTTTTGTTTTGACTTTCTTATCTTATTTTCAAACACCGTGTACATCGGAAACGAATGAAATATGTGAAAAAAATGTACATTGTCCGAACCTAGCCATTTAAACATGTGTACATCGAAAACTAATAAAACCCTAATCCCGCCGCTGGAAGTCCCAATCCTTAAACCCCCAAAACATTAACATACAAAGACACAAAAAGTTTACATCTTTATTCACATCATTATTTCTAGGTGAAAATATGTGTACATGTACATATATGTATATGTGTACATATATACATATGTGTTCCTTATTTTACTATTGTGGAATATGCGTATATGTGAATATTTCTAGAAGAAGTACATATCTTAATTTATCATATGAAGATGGATGTGTATCTCTATTTTCAAAGGTTATTTTTTTAAATGAACGTTTATGGGAATATGAGATATACTAACTTGTCACCAAATGACATATACATGCCAAAACCTCCATCTAATATTGTGTACACATCTCATGTGTACACATTCCTAATTGTACATATACATGATTGTACACATGTACATATACATGATTGTACACATATACACAATCCATGTCACATGTATACACGTTTTATTTTATACCTTACCAAAACTTTCCAAAACATCAAAATCCTCAATTTGAATGTATTAATGTACCAATGACAAAAAAATAAATAAAAAATGTATTGTACACATGTGATATTTGATCCACCATAACTCTTTTCGGTTCTCACGTGTCACACATAATATATTATTTGTACATATGTACAATTCTACATATGTACATACACATATTGCACAAGGGCAAAATAGTCTTTTCATTTTCATCTTCTTCCTTAACCTAATTTTTTTTTGTGTGCAGCCACCATTGTTTTTGTTAAACTTTCATCTGATTTCACCAATACTCTATGAAATTTATCATCTAAACGACAAAACTTATACTAAACTTTCGTTTTTGAAACAAAAACCATCAAATAATTAAGATTTTCTTATTTAACCAATTTTCCTTGGTTTCAGAAAAAAATTAAGAACCATGGATTGATAAGAAGAACAAATGATGCAATTATTTCCTGAAAATAAACTCTGATTCACCACATGATACTAATTGATTTTAAGAATCTAGCTCTTCTAAGAAATTTCTTGAGGAATTGCATGACTAGTGGTTTGTAGATTTGCAAACGTTTGAAAAAAATACAGAACAAAATATTGGAAGAAAAGAAAAACAAGAAAACAAAAGAGAGAGAGAGAGAAATGGGTCCTACTAGTTTATACTAGTTATGTTTTGGTTAGAAACGAATGAGGCAAGTTAGAGAAAGTGTTCTATGAGCACAAAGTGACTTATTGTGTTACCTAAAGTCATAAAGTGACCTGAGTTGTTAATCTCTCGGAAAAAAAAGATGTAACAATGTTATGCATGACCCATAAGGAAGATATTAAATGAAAAAAAATAGAGAAAATTAAAAGAAAGATTAAAGACACTAGGCACTGTAGGTAGTTGGAGTGGTCATTGTTTTCAACTTTGTGTCGTTTTTATCAAACCACAAGAAACTCCTTACTCCTTTCCCTTCTTTCAAACCTTTCTTCACATCCCTCTTCCTTCATTTATTTTATTAAAATTAAATAAAATAAACAAACTGTTCAACTTCGGCTCCTCACCGTCCGATACGTTGACTCTAACCGATCAGTCAACTTGAACCTCCACATCCAACGGCCATGGGTCACTGTTACAGCCGGAACATCTCCGCCGTCGAGGACAACGAGATCCCCGAAGTATCGAACCAACCGCCGCAAAACCACCGCCGTGCTCCGTCTCCTCTCCCCTCCGGACCTCCGGAAGTCAACTCCTACTCCGTCAGCCCGTTTCAAAGCCCGTTACCGGCCGGAGTAGCTCCGTCGCCGGCGAGAACTCCGGGACGGAAGTTCAAATGGCCGTTTCCGCCGCCTTCCCCCGCCAAACCGATCATGGCGGCTCTGAGACGGCGGAGAGGCGCCCCGCCGCGGCCGAGGGACGAGCCGATCCCGGAGGACGGCGAGGAGGCGGAGGGAGGAGGAGAAAGCAGCGGCGGAGAGAGGTTGGATAAGAACTTTGGGTTCGGGAAGAACTTTGAAGGGAAGTACGAGCTGGGGAAGGAGGTGGGGCGAGGGCATTTTGGTCATACTTGTTGTGCTAAGGCTAAGAAAGGGAAGATGAAAGGTCAAACTGTGGCCGTTAAGATCATTGCTAAAGCTAAGGTGTGTACTAGAGACTCTTGTTGTTATCACTGTTCATTACTGAATCAGTGTTCAAAAATTTGCTAGGCAATAGTTAATGTGTATGAAATTATTGATTAGACGGGTGTCTATACCGATTTGCGCACTAGTTAATGTGTATGAAATTATTGATTAGGCGGGTGTCTATACCGATTTGTGCACTAGTTAATGTGTATGAAATTATTGATTAGGCGGGTGTCTAGATCGATTCAAAAAAAAATATAGTTTTGTTTAGGTCTGATTTGCCAAATGGCAAATTTCTAGGCGAACTGACCGATTTTAGAACACTGGTCAAGATCTTTGAAAGAATGTTTTTTTAATAAAAGATTCCCGATAGTTGATGGAATGTAGCATTGAGATGATTGGTTTGGTTTTTCTGTCGTGTAGATGACATCGGCTCTGTCCATTGAAGATGTTCGGAGAGAAGTGAAACTGTTGAAAGCTTTATCTGGACATAGGCATATGGTTAAGTTCTACGATGTATACGAGGACGATGATAATGTCTTTGTTGTTATGGAGTAAGTTGTTTGTTCTAAACTTTTAGTGTGTAATGATTTGGAAGATAAGTTTGTCACTTTCTCATATATTCAATCTTTTTTCAGGTTGTGTGAAGGTGGAGAGCTATTGGATAGGATTTTAGCTAGGTAAAAAATCTCAGAGTACACACCTTTCTTAGTCTTTCTTTTATATGTTTCAGCCTTTACTGCATTGACTATGGATTCAAAAACTTGTATTATTTCCCTTACTGCAGAGGTGGTCGATATCCTGAAGTCGATGCTAAACGTATTCTTGTACAGATTTTATCTGCAACTGCATTTTTTCACCTCCAAGGTGTTGTGCACCGTGATCTAAAGCCGGAGGTACAGACTCTGCCTATATCAGTTAATGCCACCTCTTTGCTATTTATGGTTGCTTAAACAGAATGTATATATTTGTGTCTGTTTCCAGAATTTTCTCTTTACCAGCAGAAACGAGGATGCAATCCTCAAGGTCATAGATTTTGGCTTGTCTGATTTCATTAGATACGGTAATAATGTATTTCTTTGTTCCTCCGTCTTGTTACATGATTCTGCTTATAGTAACTCTGGTTGGTGTATATTATATTGCAGATCAGCGTCTCAATGATGTTGTGGGAAGTGCATACTATGTTGCACCTGAAGTTCTGCATAGGTCTTACAGTACTGAAGCAGATATGTGGAGCATTGGTGTCATAAGTTACATATTACTCTGTGGAAGCAGACCTTTCTACGGAAGAACTGAATCTGCGATTTTCCGCTGTGTGCTTAGAGCAAACCCTAATTTTGAGGATATGCCGTGGCCTTCAATATCTCCTACTGCTAGAGACTTTGTGAAAAGGCTTCTGAATAAGGACCATAGGAAACGAATGACAGCTGCTCAAGCCCTAGGTTAGTTCAAGAATAGACATTGATCTTGAAATGGAAACAAGTACATTATGGGATACAAGTACATTATGGGATACAAGTTAGCTAGGGTTCTTTGCTTTCCACTAGTGGTAATGTTATATGATTCTGTGTTTGTAGCTCATCCGTGGTTACGTGATGAAAACCCTGGATTGCTTCTTGATTTCTCGATCTACAAGTTGGTCAAGTCCTATATTCGTGCCTCACCTTTCAGACGATCAGCACTTAAGGTAATTTCTACCTACTCATGCTACAAACAGCATAGTGATACACATGCTTTTTCTCATTTGAGATCATCTTTACTTATGGCTGGCGATTTCTTATTTTGATCTTCTTCTTATTTTCACTTGTTAAATTCAATAGGCTCTCTCCAAAGCTATACCCGATGATGAGCTTGTGTTCCTTAAGGCACAGTTCATGCTCCTGGACCCTAAAGATGGTGGCCTATCTCTTAACTGCTTCACTACGGTCAGTGTGGCTTTCTTAATTTAGCATTAAAACTCGGTCTTTGGTTTTTCAATCTCTATCCGTTGGATTAGTCTTAAAACCAAGCTGCATCTCTATATGCTTTTAAAATCTACGACAAATGTGGTCAAGATATGTTACTAATGCTATGATGAATCCAAGGAAATGAAGAAATATAATTACTAGTTACTAAATTACTAATGCAAGAACTTGGTATCCTGATTTAGAAAAAATAAATTAATACGTATCAGAATATAAACCCTTTTGAGTGTAACTGCAGGCTTTAACAAGATATGCTACTGATGCAATGATGGAGTCAAGGCTTCCTGACATTTTAAACACGGTAACACATCTCTGCTATACATATTTTATCTTTGAATATATGAGTTTAGGGATGGACCAGCTATAGATGAAAGATATGGCTTTCATGGTGGTTAATAGTAGAAATAATTGTAAATATTGCGGATAGCATGAGTAAATGGTATCTTAAGATTTCAGAAATTAGAGCCTTTCTTTAACATTTCTTCGTGATCATTACCGCCAGTTTTCTCCCAATATTGATGTTGATGTTTCTTTGCTGATTCTCATACTCTATTGAACCCACCATTGTGCATTTTGAATTCCGCAATTTTTTCATCTTTTTTTTTGTTTTTCTGTGAAGATGCAACCATTGGCACAAAAGAAACTGGACTTTGAAGAGTTCTGTGCGGCTGGGGTCAGCGTTTACCAACTGGAAGCTCTTGAAGAATGGGAACAGATTGCAACTTCAGCGTTTGAGCACTTCGAGCAGGAAGGGAATAGAATCATATCCATCCAAGAACTCGCCGGGGTATGGTCTTAAATTCAACCTTGTATGAGTTTTGCTTAAGCACCATCTCTTCAGTAAGATTTAAAACATATATAATTATTGGGACGTGACTTAAAGCAGGAGATGAGCCTGGCACCAAATGCATATCCTCTGCTCAAGGATTGGATCCGGAGTTCGGATGGAAAGCTGAGTTTCTTGGGCTATGCTAAGTTCTTGCATGGTGTGACCGTACGAAGCTCGAGCTCAAGACCTAGGTGACACAGATGTCATGACTAGAGTCTTCTAACGTGTGAATCAATTCTTGAGAAGCACCCCAAAGGACGTAGCGGTCATCGACCTTGGGTTCAAAAGACGCAACATATACTGGAAGTGGAAGCTAGGTGCTTTCTTTGTAAATGATTCTTTGAGCATTCTGGTTTTTAGAGGAACCACACCAAAAAAAGAGAAAAACATATTTTTATATTATAGGAGGAACTTGGAGAGGTGTTTTTTTTGTGGATCAGTTTGCATAATCGATTATACTTCTCAGGTGCATTCCGAAATGTTAGAAATCAATAGAGAAGCAGTTAAGTGAATTTCTTTGACCTCACAAAACGTACATAGCAACCAACTAGAATTATTACTAAACCGTTGCTACGCAGTTGATTGAAGTTTGAACCATTATTACATGATGTAGGAGCCGGTCCTGTAAAATCTATGACTAGAAAAAAAATTAAAAAAATGGCCGCTCTTGCAGATAATCGAACCCGGGTTATGGTATAAGAATCTGTGACATTTACATTTTACCACTAGACTAACACAAGGTTTTGGAAAATTGTGGCCGAATATACATTTAAAATTAAACGACCGGAAGCAACTGCTTTTTTGGCTTGGCCCAAGGGCCGCCTCGCAACACATATCTCACGTGTACTTTTCACCCCCTAAGATGTTAAACTGAGTGTAAACAACAACCCTGAGTTCGGTAGAAAACATGTTTCACATGAAGAAAGTATGGTAGAGAACATTGAAGTTGGTGGTTAGAACTCTGAATCATTCTATTTACTCGGTAAAATCCTAGTCACATTTTCAGAAAGTACGGTTCAATTTTGGAAAGTAAATTTATGTTGCAACCACTTTTGTTGGCAGATATAATAAATCAGAGTAAATTACATGCGAGAGAGAGAAAAGAGACAACACAAAAAAATGGCATTTATCATTTATGAAATGGCAGGACATGAAATTAAAGAGGACGAAGAAGCTAAAACGTGACAATTACTATTAGCTCTTTCCTGTTTGTCACCGGTAGAAGTCTAATCCTCATTTATCTTAGATTAGCCTCGAATCCCTTCTCGACCAGGTCCATAACTTAGCAACCACTTAACCATCGGGGACTTGAACGTTAGAGAATTTGGAGGAGGACAAAACTAAATCTTTTCTTATAGACATGATGGAAAATGCACCCTACAAAAAATAGTGAGTGTTACATCACACATGAAATGATATTATTTTAAATTACTTGTTAACAAATGAGAGTATTTTAAAATTACTTGTGCACACATGTACTCTGTAAAAGATATGGACAATTTTTGCTACGTATTATTTCTTTGATTAGAAAATTGTAACAACTTGTAATCTTAATTTCCAACGTTCAGGAGATCTTGAAACACAAACATAATTCAGTATTTAAAAGAAGTAATTAAAAGAAAACAAAACAAAAAGTGAGAATGAGTCACGTTTTCCACCTAACTCAATAGTCACAAGCAGCTTCTGTAACCACTAGGATCTCTATAAAAAGCAAGAAATCCCAGCCCTTAACAACATATACAAACACATTCTTCACATAGGCAACGATGGCAGAAACCACGCAGAGGAAATGGCATGTGTTTCCGAGCAAGGATGAATTGTCGGTAGCAATGGCTAAGTACACTGCCCATCTCTCGGAGAAGTTCTGCAAGGAGAAGGGTATTTTCACTGTTGTCCTCTCCGGTGGTGGCCTCATCGACTGGCTCTGGTCTACAACTCTTCCCCATTTCACTCACCTAATTCTTTTCTTAATAGAAATAAAAATATGATGCTTTCATTTATCAAATGTTGCAGCAAGTTGTTGGAAGCTCCTTACAAAGATTCAATCGAATGGTCAAAGTGGCACGTCTTTTGGGTCGACGAGAGGGTTTGTTCTTATGAAGATCCAGACAGCAACTACAAACTCGCCATGGATGGTTTTCTATCCAAGGTTTTATTATTTTTTCCGATTAGTTATCACTTATCATATAACAAGTTGTATATATATATGATATGTATTATTTCGTCATGCATGTATACTATAACAATTTTATTATTTGGGTGTGTTTAGGTTGGGATTCCTAATGAGAACATCCATGCAATCGACAAACACTATGCCGCTGATGGTGACGCGGAGCACTGCGCGGCGCTCTACGAGGAGTGCTTGAGGAACCTGGTGAAGGAAAAGATACTCCCACTATGTCCAAGTGGCAAGTATCCTCAGTTCGATCTGCAGCTTCTAGGGATGGGTCCTGATGGCCACATGGCGTCTCTCTTCCCGGGACATCCACAGATCAATGTCAAGGACAAATGGGTCACTCACATTACCGACTCTCCAAAACTGCCACCAAAGAGAATCACATTCACTTTACCGGTCATCAACTCGGCTTTGTACAATCTTATGGCAGTTTGCGATGACCACACAGAGCAATGTCAACGCTCCATCGCTGAGATCTTTAAGCACAACAACCTCGCCTTACCTTCTGCTCATCTTACTGCTCGTGTCGAAACTATGTGGTACCTTGACAAAGAAGTTGCATCATTGCTTTAGAGAGCCAAAGACATCAAAATGGGGTGTCCTTTATAAAATAAAACAATAATAATCTCTCCAAGTCATGCTTTGTGGACCTTGGTGGTGGAGTTTGCTTGCATGTGTGCTAAATAACCGGTTAATAATGCATTTTGCGTATTGATTATACGTACCAAATGTATTGAAACGCCGATTTGTTGTTTATGTCTAGTTATGTATCTTGTGTTTGAGTCACAGGCTATGACCCCTGTTTTTATGATAATAATAATAACTTCTTTCGAATTTTCTTTTTCATGAATGATGATGGTAATTTAATTTTTTTCACTAATTATCTCGACTTAGACAAGATATCATGTTGTCCCAAAAGAAAAAGAATGATATCGTTAATTCATTTTATTTAGTACGAACTCTACTTTTGAGTAGGATTTACACTTGTGCACAGAAAAAAAGAGAGTAGGATTTACACTAAATGTAATGATCATGTGTTCTCTGCAAATGTGGTACGTGTTCCAGTTACTATCTGCAGTTTAATGCGCTGTATGGCTACGTGTTCTCTACATTAAAAGTGGACATAGATCAAATAATACCATATTTTCAGAATTTGTGATTTGATTCATATTTTACAGATATTTTTTACACTTTGTTTAACGTAAATAAATCTAAAATGATAATATAAATTTTTTTTTTAAACTATCTTTTACACAATAAAATTAAAAATTAGTGAAATTATATATTACATAACATCAAAAAATTAATCATTTTAAAAAAGAATTAAGAAAATTTTATTTTTTTATAAAGATTGATATTCATTTCTTAATTTATACTTTATAAGTAATTTTATGAATAAAGCTAATAATATATCATCTTAAAATAGTAATTATATAAAATCATACATTTAAAACTCTTTCTTTCTCTCTATATATATATATTTATTTGTATAAAGTCAGAGCAGATTGGATATTCAGTTCTAAAAGTTGTGATGGATATTAAAATTTAATATTTATTTTATTTCGATGATTTATAGATATCCAAATTTTTAGATCGAATCGAAACAAATAACACATCAAATCAAATTTAATAAATAAAATATTTAACTTCACTATGCATGCAAAGATTGTGAGAACAAGAGAACACATGAATTTAATAAATAAAATATCTAACCTTGCTATGCATGCAAAGGTTGTGAGAACAAGAGGACACATGGTCATTCATTCTATACTAATTCTTTCACATTTTTATTTATTTTGTTCATTTTCTATGTGATGAATAAATACTTTGTTTTCGTTAAATTTAACATTTTAATACTCCTTCCATTTTATTTTAGTTGTTGTTCTAGGTTTTTGCACACAGATTAAAGAAAAATTTAATTTTACATATTTTCTAGATAAAAACAAAATTACCTATATATTTAACCATTTTTAACCAATAGAAAAATAAAATATTATATAAAATTAATAAATTCTAGATAAAAACAAAATTACCTATATATTTAACCATTTTTAACCAATAGAAAAATAAAATATTATATAAAATTAATAAATTTTGTCTTGAAACTCTAAAACGATACTTAATTTGTGACAAAAAAATTACGTCTAAAATGACAAGTATTATAAAACAGAGGGAGTAAAATAAAATGTGGTACCTTGATAAAGCAGCTGCATCATTGCTTTAGAGAGCCAAACACATTAAAATGGTGTGTCCTTTACAAAAAAAAAAAAACAATTGACAATCTCTCCAAGTCATGCTTTGTGTACCTTGTTGGTGGAGTTTGCTTGCATGTGTGTTAAATAACCGGTTAATAATGCATTTTGCGTATTTATTATAGAGTTAATTGGCCGATACACCCTAAATGGGGGTGTATATTAGTCACTTATCCATGATGGGACATATTTATTTTGTCTGACCAAATTGCCCTTTCTCTCTCTCTTTCCTTCCTGCATTTACATGTGGGTGTTTAACTTTTTTTTTTTTCATTTTCGTTATCACTACTCTTCTCTCCTCTTATCATTTTCAAAATGAATTACATACAAAATAAATATGTTAAATATTTTTGAGTTCACTTTGATTCTTAAATAATAATTGTAAATTTTAAATTTACTCAATGTGATTTGGAAATACAAAATTCAGTGATGCATTTTTTGATGATACCAATTTTCTGGGTTTTAGATTCGACGTCGTGTTAGCGGTTAACAAATATTGTAGACGTTAACAGAAATGTTAACTGTTAACACTTATTTTTACGCTTCGCGTTAATAAATATGTTCGCTGTTAACAAATATTGTAGACGTTAACAAAAGTGTTAACTGTTAACACTTATCTTTACGCTTCGCGGTAATAAATGTGTTGGNATAAATATGTTCGCTGTTAACAAATATTGTAGACGTTAACAAAAGTGTTAACTGTTAACACTTATCTTTACGCTTCGCGGTAATAAATGTGTTGGCTGTTAACAAATATTGTAGACGTTAACAGAAGTGTTATATGTTAACAAATGTTTTTACGCTTCATGTTAATGAGAGGAAAGAGAAAGGGTATTCTCGGCATTTCTTTGCCAAATGGTTGTGTCAGTGTCCTTTATGTCCAATCAATAGTAGTTTGTTAATTTGAGCTGCAAATAAGGGTAATACACTAAATCACTCTTTATTATACGTACCAAATGTATTGAAACGCCGATTTGTTGTTTATTTCTAGTTATGTATCTTGGGTTTGAGTCATAGACTATGATCCCTCTGTTATAATAATAATAATTTCTTTGGGTTTTTTCATGAATGATGATGGCAATGTAATTTTTTCACTAATTATCTCGACTGAGACATGCTATCATGTCCATAAAGAAAAAGTGATATCGTTAATTCATTTTATTTAATAAGAACTCTATTTTTGAGTAGGATTTACACTTGTGCACAGAAGAAAAGAGAGTAGGATTACAGTAAATGTAATGAAGCCATGTGTTCTCTGCAAATGTAGTATTTACATTTACACGTGTTCCAGTTACTATCTGCAGTTTAATGCGCTGCATGGCTACGTGTTCTCTACATTAAAAGTGGACATAGATCAAATAATACCATATTTTTCAGAATTTGTGATTTGATTCATATTTTACAGATATTTTTATACTTTGTTTAATGTAAATAAATCTAAAATAATAATATAAATTTGTTTTTACATAATAAAGATTAAAAATTAATGAAACTATATATTCCATAGAATCAAAAAATTAAGAAAAATTGTATTTTTTATTGATATTCATAATAAAGCAATTTTATAAATAAAACTAATAAAATATCATCTTAAAATAGTAAGTATATAAAATTATACATTTTAATATCTCTCTCTCTCTCTCTATATATATATATTGTTTTTGTATAAAGTTGGAGCGGATCAGATATCTAGTTCTAAATGTTCTGACGGATATTAAAATTTAATATATATTTTGCTTCAAAGACTTTAAGATATTCAAAATTTTAGATCGAACCGAAACAAATAACAAATCGAATCAAATTTAACAAACAAAATATTCAACCTTACTATGCATGCAATTGCAGAGGTTGAGAGAACAAGAGGACACATGGCCATTCATTATATACTAATTCTTTCACATTTTTATTTATTTTGTTCATTTTCTATGTGATGAATAAATACTTTGTTTTCATTAAACTTAACATTTTAATAGAATAAATTTATTAACATAGTGAAATTTATGTAAAGCTTAATTATCATATATTGTAAAAACATATGTATCAAGATAAACTGAATACTAGTTTATATATCATATCAATAAAAACTTATTTAGAAACTTTAAACATGATAGTCTGTGAAAATAAGGAAAATATGTGTTAGTCTTTTCAGATTATCATTTTGTTTTGAATATCAAGGTCATATTATCTTTTTAAGATATTTGAATATCATTTTGTTTTTAATATCAAATGAGTGTAAACATTAACAATTAATAGCATGATTAACTCTGGTTTTTTAGTCAGTGTTTTTAACTCATAATTTTACATTTTTTTTTTACATTTTTGGTATCGGTCATTCTCTTCCTACGATAGTATTGTTCAATTGCTTCACAATGTGCTTACTTACTACTTGTTTAATTTTTTCATTCATATCTTTAAAACAAAAAATGAGGGAGAAAATATTTTAACACTAAACCGTAAACTCTGATCCTAAATTCTAAACCCATGGATAAATCATAAACATTTGGATAAATTTTATAGTGATTTAAAATTTTATTGTTTATGATTTACCCAAAGATTTAGGGTTTAAGATTAGAGTTTAGGGTTTAGTGTTTATGATTTACCTAAAGGTTAGGGTTTAGGATTACAGTTTAGGGTTTAGTGTTTTAGTGTTAAAATAATTTTTTTTAAAGAATTTTTTTTTATAAAAGCTATCCAAAATTTTATTATTTACCCAGAGGTTTAGGATTTAGGATTAGAGTTTAGGATTTAATGTTAAAATATTTTCTTTTAAAAAAATATTTTCGTTTCTATTAATTATTATTATCTTTAATTTGTATTTTTAGTTTTTAAAACATAATATAACTTAACAAAAATTTGTTTTTTTTTTAAAAAAAAAATCAAATAGGAAATAATGCAATCCTTTTGTATGGTGAACCTAGAGATTCACCCTATGGGGTAAACCCAAAAATAATTCATATGTTAATGTTAAGGGTCAAAAAAGAAAAAATTAAAGATCTTTAACCCACGTGTGTTTTAACTTTCAAGTCATAAAGATTTGAGGATGTACCATGGTGGTCTAATGATAAGCGAACTTTTAGTTGTTAAGCAATCCGAATTCGAAGACACTCCATGTGGTCATGCGATATCGATCCATTACTTCCTTGCCTATCTTTGTGGATCTACACATGAACTTGACCTACTACAAATACCAACAAAACTGCATATAATTTCAGATTTCGATAATTTTCACCAATTTATATCTATTTGATATTGCATTTACTTCATCAGGTGCTCCTTTGTGTTCTTTAAGCATCCGAAAAAGAAACAAAATGGGAAAACATTTTCTTTTTACAAAATATAGTAAAAGGCGAAAGAACTGGTCTTTGACAAAAAAAAGGCGAAAGAACTGGTCTAATGGATAATAGAATATTTTGCTATCTATTGTTTTTTTTATTCATTGTTGATTTCCAACTGAGGTCTTGAAAAAAAAAATAAAAAAATTCAGTAATTGATTTCAGAAACTGTTTTGAGGCGTAGAGGTAACTTTTAATAATCCAATGCCATAAAGAATCACGTTATCCTCCTTGCTAACTCAAACGTCAAAAAAGCAGCTCCAAGAAGCACTCCATCTCCATAAAAATCAAGAAACACCCAACCCGTACAATACATTCAAACACATTCTTCACATAGGCAATGATGGCAGAAACTAGGCAGAGGAAGAGGGAGGTGTTTGCGACCAAGAATGAATTGTCAGTAGCATTGGCTAAGTACACTGCTAATCTCTCGGCCAAATTCTGCAAGGAGAAAGGAATTTTCACCGTTGTTCTCTCCGGCTGTGGCCTCATCTCTTGGCTCGGGTTTATAAATCTTCCATTTCACTCCCCTTCTATATTATTTCTTAAAGAAAAATTCAGTGATATATGATGCTTTTGTGAACAAAAAATATAAATAAATATGATGCTTTAACTGTTGTTCAAAAAAAAAAATGATGCGTTAACTAATCAAACGTTGCAGCAAGATGTTGGAATCACCATACAAAGATTCAGTCGAATGGTCAAAGTGGTACGTCTTTTGGGTGGACGAAAGGGTCTGTTCACATGAAGATCAAAACAGCAACTACAAACTCGCCATGGATGGTTTTATCTCCAAGGTTTTATTATTTATTATATTTTCGACTAGTTCTCACATAACAAGTGGTTTCATTATTTGATATCCAATATTCATAATCTTTTGTTTTGTTAAATTTAACGTGTATTTAGGTTGGGATTCCGAAGGATAACATCTACGCAATCGACAAACAATGTGCCGCTGATGGTGACGCGGAACGTTGTGCGACGCTCTACGAGGAGTGCTTGAGGAAACTGGTGAAGGAAAAAACACTGCCACTATGTCCAAATGGCCAATATCCTCAGTTCGATCTCCAGCTTCAAGGGATGGGTCCTGATGGCCACATGGCGTCTCTCTTCCCGAACCGTCCTCAGATCAATGTGACGGACAAATGGGTCACTTACATTACCGACTCTCCAAAACCGCCACCAAAGAGAATTACATTCACTTTACCGGTCATCAACTCGTCTTTGTACAATCTTGTGGCCGTTTGCGACGACAACACAGACCAATGTGCACGTTCCATCGCTGATATCTTTAAGAACAACAATCTCGACTTACCTGCTGCTCATCTTACTGCTCAAGTCGAAGAAATGTGGTACCTTGACAAAGCAGCCGCTTCATTGCTTTAGAGAGCTAAACAGTAAACACATTAATAAATAGTATCCTTTATATGAAAATTGTCTCTCCAAGTCATGCTTTATGGAGCGTGTTGTTGGAGTTTGCTTGCTTGTATGTGTGGTGTGAATAATCATCTAATAATGCATTTTGCGTATCTACGTACGTACCAAATGATTTGAAATGCCTACTTTATGTCTAATTATGTAACTTGGGTGGGTTTGAGTCACAGGCTAGACTCTGTGTTAATAATCATAAGGTCTTTGATAACCGTTATTTCATTAATGGTGGTGGTACTTAGATTTTATCACCAATTATCTCGACTTAAACATGATATGTATTGTTTCAAAAAAAATAAAACATGATATGTATAGTTTCTGAATAATGTCTCTGTCATCATCTCTCATGGAAGAAGGTATGGTTTAGACGTTACTAATGGAACAGGGAAGTCTACTCTGTTTAAAGCTTTTAGCATAGAGCAAGCTTCCAGTTCCCAAGAATATTGACATTCTTCTTGTTGATCAAGAGGTGGCCGGTGATGACAAGACTGCTCTTGAAGCTGTTGTTTCTGCCAATGAAGAGCTGGTTAAGCTCAGGGAGGAAGCTTCAGCTCTACAAACTACAATATTCTTCTTCTGATGATGATGCTACTTGAGTAAAGCTCTCCGAAATATACGAGAGGCTACAGATGTTGGGGTCAGATGCTGTGAAGCGCATGCTTCCAAAATTCTTGCGGGTTTAGGCAGGTACTCCCAGCACTTTGTTGACCAGTTAAAAATGGAGGAGACACCAGTTCACTATGAAGATGCAAGTGGAGCTTGTAGATGTCAATGGTCTTCCGTAACTAACTAGGCGACGAAGTCACTGATGCTGGAGGCATTAATCGTTACTACATAAGGCATGCATAGTGGTGGGTTACCATGTGATGCAAGAGATGCTGAGATGGAGAAGGATAAACTAGAGGTTTATGTCTTGACGTAGTCTTTGAAGTAGTTACTGATGCAGCGTGTGTCGGAGAGTGAACCAGGAGGCATGCAGAATGGTAGAGACCATGTGGATGCAAGATGTTGAGCTGGCGTGGGATAAACTTGAAGAGCAAGTTTATACCGTGGAGAAAAAGTAAAGATAAACTTGGAGAACAAGTTTATGCCTTGAGGACTTATTATAACATAAACATTATTATAAAATTAGATAGTATACGACATAAAATTATATTTATTTATTTATTAATTTTATTATATAATTTATAATATTTTAGTTTTAAAATATATACACGGTTTTGCGGATCGAGATCTAATATTAATTAAACCAAAATTATAAGTTTGAGAATGATAATTTTTTTAATCCAAGAAAAACTGAATCTTGATAAGAAACCAGAATTAGTTAACTATGTTTTTTCTTGGTTTAGGAAATCGGAAGAAACGTTAAAGAATTTAGAAAAGAAGATCCACAAAAAAAGTAAATTAAATATGTTCTTTCAGAGATTTTTTGATACGTAAATTCTTGATATATATTCAATCACATAAATACAGGACAACTAGCTTTGAGTTAAAATTATTATTGGTTAATGCTATTTGGTATCAATTGTAAAGTATCCATGACAAGAAAAATATATTAAAAGCTTGATTATGATTTACTAAGCCGAACATGCATAATCTAAAGGCTTATGAAGTTTCATAAAAACTTTATTTTTTTGGGTGAAAAAACAATTTGTTTGTTTCTCCTCTACTCTTGCATCCTATCTTCGTGTGCTTTGCGTGCTGCATTTTCTTCAGGGTCTCGTTTGATTCCAAATGACATACCAGATCGTCTTCTCTCCCTCAGGTCGTCCATGATCTGAATATGAAGAGTTTTGAATGATTAACACCAATAAACGTATACCGAAATTCAGAGTGATGTTCTAATACCACTTGATGTGTCCTAGGAACGATCACTCTGATTTTGGTTATTTTGGTGATGGATAGATGATGATGGATCGATGGGTCACACAAAGGATGCGAAAAGCCTTTGATTCACCTTCTCCCAAGCCTATGGATATGACACACCAAGACATCTATGGAAGTATTTGTTGATCAGAAGCACTTGCCTCACAACAGAGATATGATGTTCGGTTCAAAAAAATGATTCAACAAGATTAGGGCTGGGAAAATAAACCGAACCCGAAAACCCGAACCAAATCTGATCCGATAAAAATGAATCTGAACGGATCCGAATCCAATTTAAATACCGAGCGGATCTTGTTTTATGGTATTTCGGGTTATGGGTATTATCCGAACCGAACCCGAAATTAAATGGATACCCAATAGAACCCGAGACATTCAAATTTTTTGATAAGAACGTGTACTGAAGATGATCTTAATTCCTAATATATATCCAAAATATTTTAAGATATTACTAAACATATAAAAATAATTATATATTACATGAAAGTTGATGGTTGAATGTGGCAGTTGAAACTTGAAATTTTTAGATTAATGTTTTGTTATTATTGAATAATGTTTCTCATTTTTTAAGAACTTGATTTTCGTTTACGCTTTCATTTATTTGGTTTTCTTTTTACTAATAACTATGTTTACCTTTTAGTTGATTTTGAATGATCAAGTTTGATGTTTCTTTCTTATTTTTGAATCAATTTTGCTTATGATTTGGTTACAAAATAGTTACACATTAGGTATTTTAAATCTGAAGAACCGATTTTACTTATGTTTTGGTTACAAAATAGTTACACATTAGGTATTTTAAATCTGAAGAACCAATTTGACTTATGTTTTAGTTAAAAAGTAGGTACAAATCAAGTATTTTTAAACTAAAGAACCGATTGGGACCCGAATCTGAAAGTATAACGGGTTGTACCGGTTCTTTATAGATTTACTAACTCCGACCCGAACCCGATAGAACCCGAACCGATCCCGAACCGAACTTTCAAATAATCCGAATGGGGCTGATTTTGATAAACCCGAAGAACCGAGATCCGATTGGACAAAACCGAAACCCGAATAGGACCCTGAATGCCCACGCCCTGGTTCAATTGTTGAAAAGTTTATTCAACAGGCCCTTTGTATGTAGTCTAAACCTTCGTACGTTTTTTCTTTAGCATGGCTTTTACGAGTGGGCTTGGATTTTTATGGATGGGCTTTGATTTACATTATTTGGGCTAAAAAAATCAACAAAAAGGTATCTCATTTAACGCTCCCCTCCTCTTCTCACTTTCTCTTATTCACCAGTGTCGATCACTGGTTTCTAAGGTTTATCCTCCACAGCTCTACTATTCTCTACTGGAAGCTCTGATTATGTCAACCAAAAATGGTGTTTTGAAAGTTTTTGTGAGACGAGACTTCCTGAGGAATTAATACTTCGCTCTAGGTTCGTGTCGTTTAGTCTAAGATCCGTCTCCTCCAATATGTTACCGGAAGTATTACTGCTTTGCCATTTAACAAACACTAATCATTCAATGATTTTTATCTACCTTTCAGATGGTGCATATCTACCTATAAAAAAAGGTAAGCTTCATCCCTTGAACACAATCCCTAATAGCACTAATGTTTTTTTTTAATATAATGGCTAACTCATCTATCATATAATCACTGATTTGAAGGCTGGACGACATGTTCTTCCACTATCGAGGTGCAACTGATCAGGTTTTCAGATGTAAAAGCATCGTCTTCTTCTTATGAGTTTCAGTGATTTGGAGCAGAATTTGGGTACTCTTCACCTTACTCTGTTTCTTTTGAAAGGACACCTATTCGTGACCAATGAGTCAATGACCACTATACCTGATCAGTTGCACCTCGACAGTGGAATATTTGATTTTTTTTTACCTGTCGACTGTACGTTCTCTCCATCTTCTTAATTTCCCTTTTGTATATTTTCCAGTGAATATTTGATTTCTTTTTTGAAGTGTCTCTCTTCAAATTTGATCTTTTATCAGTTTATTAATGATGGGGTTTGAGAAAAAGAATGAACTTTGCAAGAATCTTCGCGTGATCTAAGTAAAAAAAGTTTCCACCTTTCCCGTTGTCTTTGGACATTCGTTTCTTTTTAAGAATTTTTATTTTTATAATTTAAACAAATGTTTAAACACTAACATTGTCGTCAATATATGGGTTAGATTTTTGGTAAAGTTTAGAAACCCATAATTATATACATATAGACAATCTATCAAATATAATTATCGCTTTACTTGCTATTCTTAAATCTAGAACGATATATAAAACTTTTGAATTTTGAAAGTTTATGTATTTTTAGTAGTTAAAGAAAATTAGCTTCGCTTAAATAAGGATCTAAAATAGTTATTAACAAATGACAATTAATCCGTATATTTTTCAAGAGTTTTTTAAAAATATTTTTCAAAAAATGAAGAGAATTAATTAGGTTGTGAAAACAGTGAAACAAAGAGGAAAAAAAAGAAAGAAGGAGAAAACGAAAATCCAAACCCGAAAAAAAGAAAAGAAAAGATTAAACAGAGAAGTAATCTAAGAGAATAATTGTCTCGGATACTATTTGGTATTAGTTTTGTAACTAAAGTTTGGATCTGCTTATAAATATTGGGCTTCGTTTAATATAAAGAAAAGTTGATAAAAAAATATCTCTACCCACACGGTTGTTCTTTTTCCCCAAAAGTTGTGATGGCGACGAAGCCGAAACTCCAGCCACTCTCAGCACGCCGTTCCT